CGTCGAGTGAATCACCGGGAGCTCCGTATGCAAGCATCCTCATAGCTGTCATGCACTTCTGGATCGAGGTGAATCCAAATGTGCCGGTGCAATCCGTCTTGCACTTGAAGTAGCCGTCAAACTCCCGGATGGAATTCACAATCCGGAGAAAAAGCTTTCGGTTCATCCGATAACGGCGCCGAAATGTTTTCTCACCGTGCAATGGAGCATCGGCGAAGTAGTCCGAGTAGAGCATGCAGTAGCCATCCAGATGATGTCGGTTCTTTGCTTTCACCCGCCCAAGCGCCGAGCCACCTCGCCGCGGCTTCTCACTGCTCGTGAGCAGGCCGGTGAGGGCGGCGAGCACCATGAGATGCTCCTGCTCCTGGACGTCAACTTCGGCTTCCTCATCCAGCAACGCCACGAGCGCCTCCTCATCTTCGGAGTCCATCGCCGGGCCGGGCAATTCACCGAACACCTGGGCGAGGTGGGCGTAAGCCCGCCGGCATACATGCCCTGTGTGCGGTCAGAGCGCTGGAAAAGGTGTCCGACGGCGGCGAAGAGGCTGCCTCGGTGAAAGCCCTTCTTTTTCCCCGCGGGAGATGGTCTACCTAGCTGCGGCGGGCGGTGGTTGGTGCCGGGATCGGCAGGGTGGCGGCCGAGCGCGGGGGGGGGGGAGGAGGGGGGCAGGAGGCGAATCTGGGCGGGCTTCTTGACTTTTCGCCTGTCAATGTGGCCCCAGGAACGCTTTTCCCTTCCGCCGGAGCCCCCGAGCGCCCTCCAGTGCGCCGGTTTCGGCCTGCGAGCGCCGGGTGCAAAAACGGGCCGAGCCGGCGGAATTCGGCGTCCTGGGAGCGCGACTGGAGATGCTCTTTGCCCCGTCCCCATTCTCCTCATCTCCCAATCCGCCCATGCCGCTATCACGCTCGTCATCGTCGACCACATTGCCACTATGGTCCGCATCAAGGTGACGCACTACAAGTTAATCCTGCCGCGTCGGACGGAGATCCAGGTGGAGATTCCCGTCATCAAGGCATTCCGGGCTATATGCCACACGTTGTTATTATTATTACTAGCAAAAAGACCCGTGCTTTGCAACGGGAGAAAAATGTTCAATTTGTATGTAAAATTGTTAAATTTATGTAAAAAGATGTTCAATGTATATTCTTCTAAAAATACAACGTATATCAAAAATAAATAAACGTTTGGAATTGCAAAAATTGTTCAGGTTTCAAAATTTTGTTCAAATTTTCAATATTTATTCATGATTTTAAAAACATATTCATATTCAAATATTTTAAGGAAAATCATCCACACTTGTTTCCAAGAATTGTTGAAAATATTTAAGAAAAATAAATAGACCTGTCGCTAAACTACTTTAACAGGAGCGCTGCAATTTGAGCATAATCAACAGCTAGTTCATGTGTTTGCCGTCCCTGCTACCTAGCGTGAGGTCGCGAGATCGAACCAATTCATGTGTGGTTTTGTTTTTCATGCCATTTTTATGTTCTCGTTTTTCCTGGTTATGGGCCGGCCCAATTACGTACGCGAGGTTTCAGCCGAAGCTCGACTGTTAGAGCTCTCGAGGAATAGTATCACCTTGGATTTTGATTTTGTCTACACGAATTGTAAAGGTGCATTATGACATGAGAAGAAAGCGTATTGTGACGATGAACCCGACAAAGTCAATCCGTGTTTTATTATTATTATTAGGAAGAGATTATTATTACTACTACTACTACTAAGGTTGCGATGCAATAATAAACTTAGAATGGTTATAAAACAATATAATTTTTTGTTACATAATATAAGTCCTGCTTGTCATTGACTCCAATGTTTCTTCCTCGATCCCTCGTCTAGAGTAGATGCGTACACAAGCACAGATTCACGCATACTGCAGAACGCGTGCATTAACTCTACCACATCACACACATGAATTACACACGTATCATACATCTGCCAGGCCGTCGAGGCATCTCGAATGCGCCCATGACCACACAACTCGAGGCATCCTGCGGCCTGCCAATGTTAAATTGTTAATCAAACAACGGTTGAAGTTTTAAACTTGATTTTTATTTGTTTAGAATTATATTAAGCCTCAGATGGAGCACCCAAAGATTGCAATGGATGCTCCAGCTAATGCTGAGTATAATCTTAAACGACGCTTCATGGCAATCCCACTACTCCTTCGAGAGTGACTGTGTGTGAGGAAGGAAGTGGAGGTTGGGGCAGTTGCGCGGCGGGCGAAGTGGAGGTTGTGGGCGGCGGAGAGGAAAGTGAAGGTGAAGGTTGTGGGCGGCACGGATATGAACTATCGGACATGTTGATGGCCTTTTTATATCCGCGAGTGACGGCGGCAAGAAAACTTGGCGGGCGGAGGAAAAATAGGTGGGAAACGTGGCGGAAATGATCGTGGGCAATGGACACGCTGCAATCATCTTTAATTGGATAGAAGGGGAAGATATGGGCCTTGGGGGTGAGGGGGGGGGGTGAGGAGGGGGGTGAAAATTCCCGCCTAACAGATGAAGCACTCTCCAAGCCATCACCCTACAACCTCCAAATACGAAGACTCATGGGTTGGATTTGGAGTGCCTTCTGGACCCATATGTTGGCTTTGCTGGAGTGTTTTTTAAACCAAAATTATCATATCGACTGTTTTTATGTTGATCAAATCATATGATGACTATACTAGAGTTGCTCTAAGCCACACCCGCCCTGGCAATCAAATCATTGCGCACTTGACATTCACGACGGAGTCCAAGGAAGCAAATTTTGATATATATTTTTCACGAGGAAACATTCAATCTGTTCATCAATCTTTAAGATACTACAAAGAACATCAAAAGTAAAATTACATTCAGTCCGTAAACCATCTAGCGACTATTACAATCACTGGAGCGAGCCGAAGGCGTGTCGCCGTCCTTGCCCCTCCCTCATCGGAGCCGGACAAACCTTGTCGTACTGGACAGTCTTCGTCATGCTAAGGCCACATAGGACCAGTGCACTAAAACAACAATCACCGCCGATGAAGAAAAGTGTAAATCGAAAAGATCTACTGCAGACGCATGAACCAGACGAACCATCAAAGTACATTCTAATTTAACGTGAGGGACTATCAGTCAACTGAAAATTAGGGGAATTGTGAAGAATTTAAGGAGGAGATAGCCAACAAAACACAAGCAAGTTCAAGGAACTGGAGCTACTAGCTACCTTCTTCCACAGGTGACCGCGGCAAAAGTAGGTTGAAGTAAAAAAGGTCACAGTCTCACAGACGTACAGACCCGAGAAGCAGTCTCGTCTCCAAGGTTTGAATAATCCTGACGGCAACGGCCTATCTAAAACGTTTTTCCCGATTGTGGGGGTGCCCCGCTGGCCACGACGACGCCGAACTGATCAATGGTTCGGGGGAAGTGGATCCTCTAACATCCTGAAGGAATGTTATGAAGCTACAGTGACATGTGTATGTAAAATGAAGAAGAGATATCACGAGCTACAGTGAGTAATGTAGCAATCACCGTGCGGATTAACTGTAGCATGTACAAAAAAAATCAAAAAATAATTTTATAGCATCATAATTTTGTTTATATGTAAATTTTTGTAAATGTATATAGTAGATTTGTTATTTACAATTTAATTATAATCATTTTAGGCTTAACCATATGGATGTGAAGAAGGGATGTCACGGTCACTGTAGCTTACGTGACATCCCTTCACGATGTTAGAGGATCCGCTTCCTTTTGAGGCGGCTGGTCCGTGCGCATCGACAGGAAAATCATCTACTCCCTTCATCTCAGTTTACAAGGCTTGCATGTGTATCTAGACCGTCAATTTAACTTATATAAAATAAATTGTTAAATAAAAAATTATATCATTAGAAAATAAAATATCTAAAGTTTCTAGTAATATATATTCTGTAATGTATGGCTCTTATTAAGTTCGTCAAATTAACGACCTAGGTACATGTGTAGGACTTGTAAACTGAGATAGAGGGAGTACATGCATGTGATCATGAGATATAATTGCACGAAATAGAAAAAGAAGAATCAAGTAACACGGGAGCAGGGGTACGTTGAGCATCTTGATTTGCATCGACCCGTTTCCTTGTCTTACAGAAATCTGCATCGATCTTAATAGTAGGTTCTTGCTTTCGCTTCACGTCCAATTATGTTGTATATATGTGCTGGTCTATTTTGCTTGGTGAAAACTTGCTTCACCTGTCAACTCTGGTTCCGACCGAACGAAGCCGTCTAGAGGGCCCGACCGATGAGCCGGGCTAGCTGTCATGCGAGCCTCCATCTGTGACTCATCGCCGTAGCAAGGAAACGTAGAGATCCGCCGGAGCGAAAGGATGCCCGTCGACACATGTCCTCCGTCCGTCTCCATGCAAGGCGGCCACGTCACAGGCCGCCGCCATGCGCCCACACTGTTTCCCAAGTTTATACTCCGCGTGCAAGGCTGGGTCAGCACAGCACGCTCTTCACGGCGCAAACTTTCTAGTACATGTAGTTTTTTGGTTTCTTTCTTATTTTCTGCATGAAGCTTAATTTGGCAGCTTCACACACCCCGCTGGCGCCTTGGCCTTGCGTTCATATTCACGTGTTTCACGGTTGCGTTCATATTCACGTGTTGTCGGTGGCCCTGGCCATCTCTCTCTCCTCTCCTATCCTATCCTTGTTCCTGTCCTAGATGTGATCGAGTTGCAGTATTGTATCGTGCGTAAAGCTTGTTAAGATAAGCAATAATTGAGTACGTAAGGTTTTTGTTTGGATGGTGGCTGGCTAGCAGCCAACACGCCTTCGTCATGGGTGGGGCCCACGCCAGCGCCTCACCATCCGTGAGCAATCTCCATTTTCCTCATCGCATATCCACAGCTCGCCTCACTGCTGGACCTTCCAGAGACAGCACAAACATTCATAAGAAAATACTCGCTGGTAGAGTATTGCACACACAGTCTCTCTCTCTCTCTGGTGCTCGAAATCAGCAAGAACAGCTTCATCTCGATCGGTAAGTGCCTAACTGGTATGCAGCTTAGCTAGCATCTGAAAGCGTGAACTCTATCACCGCTTCTGCTCTTTCTCAAGCAATTTTCTGGCTCTTTTATAGTACTAGTGATTTGCTTGGCTGTTCAGTCATTATTATTTTTCTGACAAAACAACATGCAAGAACACTTCTGCCCCTTGTTCTTCTGACAAAGAACATGCAAGAACATTTCCCCCCCTTGTTCTCCTGATAGAGAAGCGCATATGCACTCTGGCCCCCTTGTTCTTCTGACGAAAGAACATGCTGCTTAAGCATATATTCCCCCCTTCTCTCACTACCAGATCTGTCTCCTCAACGGTTTCTAGAGCTGTGTTTCTATTTTTGCTCACTGTCGCATCTTGCATTCTTTTTTTCTAGCCGCATATCTTACAAGTTGACATGGGTTATTTATACTCCCTCCGACGGAAAATACTTGTCATCAAAATGAATAAACTATCCATTTTGATGACAAGTATTTTCGGACGGAGGGAGTACATGATGATTGTGGTTTGCCGAGCACAGACAGATCTATGAATCTTCTTGCATATTGACTTGTTGAGCTGTTCCATCCAAAGCTCTTCTCTAGGTAGAAATATCTGCAGTTTTTCAGTGTTAACTGAGGCTGGCTCTGATCAGATGTGTATATAGATTCAGTTTAATTCGGCAGCTCCAGACATTCCGCTGGCGTCATGCATTCATATTCACGTGTTGCAGGCGGCCCTTAAACTGATCACCATACATATGCGATTAGGTAGCTGTGGTTCAGCTCCTATCCTAGCTGTGATCGAGTTGCAGTATTTATATTGTGCGTAAAGCTCGTTATTAAGATAAGCAATAATTGAGTACGGTTGTTGTATGGCGTCATGGGTGGGACCCACGCCAGCCCCTGCCGACCCGGGAGCAATCTCCGTTTGCCTCATCGCATATCCACAGCTCACTCACTGCTGGACCTTCCAGAAACAGCACAAACATTCATAGCTGAAAAGATACTGCATATATACACACACTCTGGGTGAAGGCTCAGTAATCACCAAGAACTAACCACATCTTCCATCGGAATAGTAACTGGTATGTAGCATTGGAAAGCCTGAACTCCATCACCGCCGGTTCTGCTCTTTCCCAAGCAATTTCCTTATTCTTCTTTGGTGATTTGCTTGGTTGTTCATTGATTTCTTGTTCACCTGACAAAAAGCCCCCCCCCCCCTCACTTTCACTAGTACCAGATCTGTCTCCTGAACATATTTCGAGCTGCCTTTCTTCTATTTTTGCTTACTGTTGCCTCTTTCATTTCTTTTTTCTTGGCGTATACTATATCTTACAAGTTGAACTGTTCCATCCAAAGCTCTTCTCTAGGCATCTTCACTCTTCAGTGTTGAGGCGGGGTCTAATGTGTAGATAGATTCAGTTTTTCAAGGAACAGTTTGATCGATCTATGTGGTATGTTTTTGAACGATTCGCGTCGATGCCAATGACCCATATGTTGACTTTGCTGGAGTGTTTTTTAAACCAAAATTATCATATCGACTGCTTTTATGTTGATCAAATCATATGATACTCTACTAGAGTTGCTCTAAGCAATGCCCACCCCAGCAAACAAACCGTTAAGCACTGACGTTCACGACAGAGTGTAAGGAAGCAAATTTTGATATATATTTTTCGCGAGAGAACTTTCATTCAGGCACGTAGACCACCTAGCGATTATTCACTGGAACGAGCCAAAGACCCGCTAACATCCACGACATAGTCCAAGGAAGCAATTTTTGATATATATTTATCTCGAGAAATATCCAATCTGTTCATCAACCGTCAAGATAATACAAATAACATCAAAAGTAAAATTACATCTAGGTCGGTAAACCACCTAGCGACTACTATAATCACTGAAGCGAGCCAAAGAGGTGTCGCCGTCCTCGCCCCTCCCTCATTGGACTAGCACATAGGACAAGCACATTAGAACAACAATCACCGTCGATGAAGAGAAGTGTACATCTAATCTGCAGACACACCAACTAGACGAACCATCGAAGTACATTTCGATTTAACGCGAGCGAATATCAGCCAACTGAAAATCAGGGGAATTGTGAAGAATTTAAGGAGGAGCTAGCCAACAAAACGCAAGCAAGTTCGAGGAACTGGAGCTACTAGCTATCTTCTTCCACAGGTGGCCGCGGCAGAAGTTGGTTGAAGTAAAAGAGGAGACACGTCACACGCCCCATGTCGAGACGTGCAGACCCGACGAGCAGTCTGAATCAACCATACGCACTGCGTCTCCAAGGTTTGCATAATCCCCGATGGCGACGAGGACCCACTCATAAACGTTATTTTTCAATTGTGGGGGCGCCCCGCTGGTCACACGGGGGCAGGGGTAGGTACGTTGAGCATCTTGATTTGCACCGATCCGTTTCCTTGTCTTCCGGAAACTCTGCACCGATTTACTTCCTTCATCCTAAATTTTTTGTTTTAGATTTGTCTAAATATGGATGTATCAAGTTATATTTTCCAAATGAACGAACCCGTCTAGAGGGCACTACTAGAGCTGCTCTGACTCCCTGGCACCGCCGTGGGTGGTCCGCCGACCGACGACGACGAGCCGGGCTAGCTGCCATCATGCGAGCCTCGATCTACGACTCATCGCCGTAGAGATCCACCGGAGCGAAAGGATGCCGGTCGACACATGGTCCTCCGTCTCCATGCAAGGCCACCACGTCACAGGGCGCCGCCATGCACCCGCACTGTTTCAGAATTTTATACTCTGCGTGCAAGGCTGAGTCAGCACTCAGCACCGCACACTCTTGGCATTCATATTCACGTGTTGCTGGCGGCCCTTAAACTGAGCTAGCTGTGGCATCTCTTCTCTCCTATGATCCTATCTGCCAGTTGCAGTATTATGTGTAAAGCTTTTTAAGATAAGCAATAATTGAGTACGGTCCTTGTATTGTATTGAATGCACTCATAACTAGCGGCCAAACACGCCTTCGTCATGGGTGGGGCCCACGCCAGCGACTCACCATCCGTGAGCAATCTCCATTTTCCTCATCGCATATCCACAGCTCACCTCACTGCTGGACCTTCCAGAGACAACACAAACATTCATAAAAAGAAAAGAATACTCACTGGCGGAATATACTGCATATATATACACACACGCACACTCTGGGGCTCAGTAATCTGCAAGAACGGCTTCATCTTTGATAGGTACTGACTGGTATGTACAATCTGAAAGCTTAAACTCTATCACCGCCGGCTCTGCTCTTTCTCAAGCAATTTTCTTATTCCTTTTTAGTGATTTGCTTGGCTGTTCATTGATTTTCTCTCTTCTGACAAACGAACATGCAAGAACATATTTGCACCTTGTTCTTCTGACAAAGAAATTGCATGTGCACTAGCTGCCTTGTTCTTCTGACAAAAGAACATGCTGCTTAAGCATATTTCCCCCCCTTCTCTCACTCCCAGATCTGTCTCCCAAAGATATCATTTCCATGTTTCTTTGGCGAATATTATGTTGCAAGTTGACATGGGTTTATATATTCTACATGATGGTTGTGGTTTTGCCAAGCACAGACAGACCTATGAATCTTCTTGCGTGTTGACTTGTTGAACTGTCCCATCCAAAGCTCTTCTCTAGGTAGTACCTTAATTTTTCAGTGTTAACTGAGGCTTGGGTCTCATGTGTAGATAGATTTAGTATTTCAAGGAAATCCTTCGTTGTTGTCCTGAATCAGGGTAGCTCCGCCGCTTGCACCGTCATCGTCGCAAAGGTCAGATGTATCTGGTGAAGGACATCGGCGGCGCCATCTGCCTGATGGCGGCGGCCCTGGTGCTCCTGGGCACCTGGCCGGTCGTCCTCGCCGTGCTGGAGCGCCGGGGACGGCTGCCGCAGCACACGTACCTGGACTACTCCATCACCAACTTCCTGGCCGCCGTGCTGATCGCCCTCACATTCGGCCAGATCGGCGCCGACACGCCGGAGACGCCCAATTTCCTCACTCAGCTCGCCCAGCCCCAGGTCAGTTGTCCCTGTCGATATTCTTTCCTGGCATGCATAGAAAGAGAAGGTCAACATGTATGTGAGACTGAATTTCAGGCAACATCTTGGCTTTCAGTTTTTCCGTCTGACCTCAAGTTTTACATATGTGAAGAAGCCACAACTCTTCAGTTGGTACTACATCAGGCTTTTGCTTAGTGTTATATAGTGCAATTGTTCTAACTATCTCTATGTTGGACGAACAATTCAGGACTACTGGCCGTCGATCATGTTTGCGCTGGCGGGCGGCGTGGTGATCACCCTCGGCACCGTGGCCACGCAGTACGGCTGGGCATACGTCGGGCTTTCGGTCACCGAGGTCATGGCCTCAAGTCTCAAGGTTGTCATAGGTAGGTACTACATACACCCACAAATCTGTATAGATACTCTCCAATTCTCCATGGAGATAGATGACTGAAGATTAATTTCCAAAATCTGAAGATTAATAAATTACTGAATTTTCTGTTGCAGGAACGACACTGAACTATTTTCTGGACGGCCGGATCAACAGGGCGGAGGTTCTGTTCCCCGGCGTCGGATGCTTTCTGATTGCAGCCTGCCTAGGCTCACTTGTTCACTCCTCCAATGCTGCTGACAACCAGGAGAAGCTATCAAACTCCAGAAACTACTCTACTGGGTACAGTCTCATCTCTGCTTCCTTCCTTCCTTCCCAAGCATTCATTCAGTTGGTGAAAATAATGAATGGGCTTCTTCCTTATCACCAAAATTTTAGTTTTAGATCTCTGAATATTTTAAGCACTGCATCTGAAGATCACTTTGCTGAATTCTTCACAGGAACACGCCAAAGGAGGATCTCACCCAACACCTCCTTCAAGTAGAAGGTAACAACTTGTTTATCGTTAATCAGATGAAAATGATGATCTACTGGTCTTCTTAATAAGAATCTTTCAATGGAGAACAGAGGAACCAAAGGATTGTGAAGAAGCAAAGCCTGCAGTACCAAATAATAAGGCCGTGGAGAAAGCCTTGGCAGGGACAGCAGATTTCCTCATCGACCTCGAGGACAAGAGATCAATCAAGGTTCTTGGATCCAACACGCTGGTGGGCCTGGCGATCGTGACGTTCGCGGGGGTGTGCTATTCGCTGTTCGCGCCGGCGTTCAACCTGGCGACCAACGACCAGTGGCACACGCTGCGCGACGGAGTGCCGCACCTGGTGGTCTACACTGCCTACTTCTACTTCTGCCTCTCCTCGCTAGTGGTCGGCGTGGCGCTCAACGTCTGGTGCCTCTACCGCCCCATGGCCGGCGTGCCGCGGTCGACGCTCCGGGCGTACGTCGGTGACGGGGAGGGGAGGGGGCTGGCGCTGCTGGCGGGGCTGGTGTCCGGGCTGGGCAACGCGTTCACGTTCATGGCCGGGCAGGCGGCCGGGTACGCGGCGGCGGACTCCGTGCAGGCGCTGCCGCTGGTGAGCACCTTCTGGGGCGTGGTGCTGTTCGGGGAGTACCGGAGGTCGTCGCGGAGGACCTACACGCTGCTGGGGAGCATGCTCTTCATGTTCGTCGTCGCCATGGCCGTGCTCATGGCCTCCTCCGCGCACAGGAAGCCGCTCTGACACGCCCTTGCTCATGCTCATGCATCAATGCATGGCAACCGGGACCTTGCGTAGCAAAGACAGAGAGGCTACAATAGCAAGCTCTTCAACGAGGACGGATGTTGTGTAATTTGGGCCAGTGCCGATGTATGTCACATTTTTTTAAAATAATCCTAATCTATGATCGAAGTTCACCGAAAGTAAAAAGTATCTCAAACATATTTAAAATTACATCGACATTTTGAGAGCATCAAAAGACCACTACCACCGCCTGAACAAGCCACTGTCGCCGCTCTCCTACCAAAACCAGCTTGACCTTGATGACAGCCGGAAAATTTTTGTGCGCGTCTCCCTAAGGACCGACGCTCTTGAGCCATAGCCATCGTCATTCAAGGGCCATAGTCTTCGTCATTGAATTCTTAAATAGATCTGAAGCACCTGAAACCACGAGAAATCCTAACCTCGCCTCCCCAAGGAGACGGGAGGAATCTACACCGGAGCTCCGTTGACTATGTCTAAATGAAGATGTATGTCTAGTAAGCGATTTACCTTATTTTAGTTTCGGTCACAAACTTTGTTGTTGGTGCATATATTAGAAAATCCCTCATAAGCAATTTTGAGAGACCAATGAAAATAAGTTAATTTATTTGTTAGAAATGAAATTGTATCGGTCAACATATTGCGTCATTTAGAGAAGTCGATAGTCACAATTTATTACAACCCAAGTTTTCCGCATTGTTTTACTTATAGTTTATTTTTACATGGATAGCTTTGTTTGTTTCATATTTGGCTTTCATTTGGTCTTAAACGAGACATGTATATCCTAACTATTTTTGTTTCAGAATTCTAAAGCCAAGGTTTCTTTAGAAAAACAGTATAATACCTTGTCCAATGACGTTAGAAAAAGAATGTAAAATACGAACCATTTATGTGCTTAGTTTCAAAGACGCTCTCACAACTAGATCGACTAAAGAATGACATGTATAGCTTTGATTTGAGCAGATCATATCCGTTATATATTTTTGAAGAATAATTATATTAGAATTCTTGATAACCATGTCAAGCCGTCAATTCAAGGACGAATGTAATGTAGGTTGGATGATTCGTCTGGGTATAATTTGTGAGGGCCGCGATATGTTTCGTGAAATAGTTAAATTGACCATTGATAAAGGTTGACTAAAACTTGTTGAAACACCAATGGTTGAGTGGTCTTTTCCTATTGGTCCTGATGGCAAAAGGGTTTTGCATTGGCTGCTTCAAGCCGATTTCATTTAAAGATGAGAAGGTAAAAATTATGGGCGATGTGATCAATCTTTCAATGAGGGCAAGAATTCTATCAAAGTTACAATGAAGACGTGAAGCACAGGGGCAGTAAGAAAACCCAAAGATCGATGCAAACAAAAGCAAAAGAAACAAAGGCTAAACTAAGCACAAGCGCAAAAAATCCAAATTAAATTTCTCACAGTTTAGATAAATCTCAAAAGAAGAGTGAAGAGAAAAATGCTTATCTGCAAAATAATGCAAAGAAGTCAAGATCACCCCCTAGGCACAAGTTTGAAGACCTGCATTGGCAGAGGGATAATTTTTCATCTTCATATCCTCCTTTTGGGCCATCAATGCAAATGTCTACCTCCATATGGTAATTTTCTATATCCATCATGGGACAGTCATGAATTAAAGGACATATTTTTCATCTTATTTTAGACTATCTCTCTAAAATTATGTAGCTCCAAGAGGATAAAATTTGATGAAAAATCATATGCTAAAGACCGTTTCAATCATAAGGGAACGATCTGGAACTCAAGAGAGAAGAAATAGGTGTTCAAGCAAGTTTACCGTGTTAAAAAGATGATCATAAATGTGCTACTTCAAATCTGATGTAAAATGAAAAAAAGCTAATTAAGATATGACCATTAGCTACTAAAGGCAAAGAGATGATACAACCAACCGTTGAAAATCAAAGTGCCAAATCTAAGAAAAGCGAGTTAAGAGAATAGAATTTGTCATTGCTTGAAAAAGAATCATGGACGAGGCGTCCACTCGGATTATCGTATTGAAAAAAGAATAAATTGCAAACGCTTAGTGCACAATAACATGAAAAATAGAACATGGCATGGGCTCCCAATGGGAGTGGTCAAAATAAGAATGATGTTCAAGCTTGTGTTACAAGAAGTGCAGTAAAAATGAAGAATGTAGCTAATAAGCAATTAAGCCAAAGCTTTGCATTTGCCCATCAAGATCATTGGTTTGCACATCATCCATATTCTCCAATCATGTTATTGATGCATATGCCATGGGACTCATCCCCAGATATAATCGATTACCATCCATGACCTTATTTTGATCCATGGATGCAATATAATTTCTTACGTTATGAAGGGGTGTTAGCAGATCACTATTATTTGATTAGCGAATTTTTTTTCTGAATCCAAAGGATCACAATGTTTTAACTATTATTTCGTTCATTTCTCACATGTTTTAGTGGATAGAGTTTACATGATCCTAAAAAGGCAATGACTGATATATACTTATCACAATAATAAGCATATCAAATGGCTGATGGAGTGTTGACATCACGCCAAAAGTTTACGCGAAGGAAAACTTTCCCTAAACCAAAGGTTTCTTTTTTTTTAGGAAAGAAAAGACACAACAAGGCTAGCTAGGTGAACACGTGCTAGATAAGAAAATTCGACCTAGAGTCCTAGACCCAAACGAACCAAACGGTTTTTGTTGCAGAATTTGTTTCCGTAATTTGCAGACTTCGGTTCAAATTCAAACTCAAACATGTTTGCCCGCAAAAGAACAACTGGAATTTGCAAACGTGTCCGCGACGTATCCCCGCGCGCGTGTCCGCAGGAGCCTTTGCCGGCCACGGTCTCTGCAACCGGGGCCCCCATATATCTAGACACGCACGCCACGCGAACACCTTCCCATCAAAGCCACCCCGTCCCCGTGCCCCAGGTATTCCTCAGCCCTCGTCGCCCACCGCCGCCGCCGCCGCCGCCGCGATCCGATCTCCCGGCTCCCGTACGACGCTAGGGTTTCCGCCGCCGCCAACGCCGCCGCGGGTGTCTTCTCCGCCGTATGAGCAGCAGCCCCGCCAACCTGGACCGCCGGCACCGTCACCGATCGTACCCCCATGTCGTCGAGGAAGACCGCGGGCCCGTCCCGCGCCACCGCCGCCGGCGCGAAGAAGGTGGCTAGCGGCCCCGGGGGTATGAGCCTCCGGGCGCTGCGGGAGGGGCTTGCCCGTCAGAAGGAGGAGGAGGAGCGCAGGGCGCGGGAGCAGGAGCTGCAGGCGCAGGCGGAGGAGGCCAGGAGGCGGCGGGATGAGGAGGAGGAGGAGGAGAGGAGGAAGCTGAGGGAGCAGGAGCTGAAGCGGAGGGAGGAGGATAGGCAACGGAGGCGGCTGGAGGAGCGGAAGCGGGAGGAGGGCCGCCGCGCGGAGGAGGCGCGCAGGCGGCTCGGCATCACCTCCGCCGTTGTTGAGGGCGGCGGTGCTGTTGGTGTCGACGATGGCCCGAAGAAGCGGCCGGTGTATCAATCCAGGAGACCTACATTGAAGCCCAAGACTGTCGAATCTGAAGCCGATGGGGGAGGAGGCCAGGGCTTGAGCAGTGTTTCGCAAGAAGAGGAAAACAGTGCCACCATCAATGAGGCACTCAAATTGGGGGAGGGATCAAGCAATGGATCGTTGGAAGAGGACAGAGCAGCAATCGGCGATGAGGATGAGGATGAGGATGATGAGGATGCTTGGGATTGCAAGAGCCTGGATGAATTTGATGTCATGTCTGCTGCTGGCAATTCTCACTCTTCTGAAGAAGAGGAAACCAAAGGGAAGCATGTGGCCTCCGCTGCTCCGGTCGTTAATGCAGCCAATGATGCAGGCAATGAGATTGTGGAGGATATCTTCGACGCTCAGGATGTGGATGGAGATGAAAAGGAGCTTCGAGCACCGATATGCTGCATCCTTGGGCACGTGGATGCCGGAAAGACGAAGCTCCTGGATTGCATCCGGGGCACCCATGTGCAGGAGCGGGAGGCCGGGGGCATCACACAGCAGATTGGCGCCACCTACATACCGGAAAACATCAGGGACAGGACGAGTTTAAAAGCTGAAACCGCCATCAAAGTTCCTGGTTTGCTCGTGATTGACACCCCTGGCCATGAGTCCTTTAGTAAAATGCGTTCAAGGGGATTGAGTATGTGTGACATCGCCGTGGTTGTAGTCGATATTACGCAGGGGCTTGAGAAGCAGACGATTGAATCCCTTCATCTTTTGAGACGGCACAATGTGAGCTTCATTGTCGCCTTGAACAAGGTTGATCGCCTCTATGGGTGGAAGGAATGTACCAATGCACCAATAGTTGAGGCACTCAAGAAGCAATCTGACGACGTCAAAAGTGAATATAAATGGAGGTTAACTAAGGTATTTTCCCGTGAGTTCTGTGCATTTCTTTGGTATAATGCCAAATTTGCATCGAATTACAGATGGTTTCTTTGAAATTTTCTGATGATTTGATTTTTTGTAAACAGGTTGTAACAGAGTTTAAGGAAAATGGCTTCAACACTGCACCATACTATGAAAATAATAAGAAGAAAAAAGTGGTTAACATTGTCCCGACCAGTGCAGAAAGGTGTGGCAGCTATATACTTTGTTGCTTATGTTCTAAGTTTCAGTTTCTCATGTGTTATCTGCAATTTTAGCCTCTGACCAACTTTTACTGTAATATCCTCCAGCGGTGAAGGTGTCCCAGATCTTCTACTGCTACTGGTGCGGTGGCTGCCTGGCATAATTACAGATAAGCTGGCCTATGACGATACAGTAGAGGTTCGTTCGTAATCCATCACTCTCTCTAATGAAGTTAGTCATTAACCTAATGTATTCTTAATGTGACATTCTTCTCCACATATGTTTGTTCAGTGTACAGTACTAGAAGTCAATGAACATAAAGATTTAGGAACTACTGTTGACGTAGTACTGATTAATGGTGTGCTGCACCAAGGGGATCAAGTAATTGTTTGCACTAAACAGGTATATAAGTTTCTGAAATCTGAGATTTACATGTTACCTTGAATGTTTCCTCAACGATTTCATTTCTCACCTTAACCTTTCCATCTTTAGGGGCCTGTTACAACCATTATTAGAGACTTGTTGACCCCTCATCCAATGAAAGAACTCAAAGCTAAGGTGAGTCCACACTTTTTTTCGTCTGTGCATTCATATTTTTCTTGTTAGTTTTTTGGTGATAGATAGGCAGATTTATGCAATGCTTTAAACGTTTTAACTTGAATGGAAGGCTTTGGTATTTATGGCAAGAACATTTTGATTTGCTAGAGATGCATTTCCGTTCTTAATGGGATAACATTATAATTCCTACTTTCCCCACTATTCCTGAGTTTTTAAAATCCTGCGATGGCCCTGAAATATGCAGAAGTTAAGGAGTACTAGAACTTGTGGGGAAATGCTGTTAATTAGTACCTTAATTAACAGATTCAGGACTCAAGATTACCTAAAATGCAGATAGGCGTTAGTTTTGCTATCCTGTCCCAATTCCTCATTTCTGCTCCCTCCAGTCTTATGCAGTGGGTATATTTTGACTGTCAAAACTCCTGCTTTGAGCATAAATTTATTTTAGATTATTTTGATAATGCCCATAAAACCACATCCATAAGAAAGTAATTTTGAAAACGAATCTAATGATACCAATTTTATTACCTATATATTATTGAAGTAATGGTTGGTCAAAGCATGAATTTTAGCAGTCAAAATATACCACTCCCAAATCCATATAATAAGATGGCAAAGGTGCCTCTTATTTATTTGCCTGCAGTTCTGTCCCAAATCCTCACTCCTTGTTTGCAAAGGTCCCTCTTATTTTAGTTGTCATGCATAAACCTGGACTCTTTATGCCATTTGTAGCCATCAGATTTTACACTGGAATGAAGTGTACATGTGTGACTGATGGATATAATTGGGGAATTGTGCCCATATTCTATTATTAGGGATTACATTTGAAAGATCTATGACTATACCAATGAGGACTTGGGATAAACCCTTGATTGAACATCACATATTTGCTAATGCGTATTTAGATGTCTTTTGATCAGATGGTTGTTCATCGCATATGTTATTACAATTTCTTAAGTTCCCCACCGCATCTAATCATAATATTTTCTAAAATTTGAAGAACCGTAAACAATTTGCTTCTGACAACCAAGATATATTTTTGATTGCTCACAACTGGTCCCTTTAATATTCTGAATTGGTCTTGTGCTATCTTGCTGGGACCATAATTATCACGTTTCATTCGAGTATTCTCTTGTCCAGAACACTGTTGTATGCCCTACCCTACATAGGCTACATTGGAGCATAAACATTTGAAGTTGTAACCCAAGATGAATTTTGGGTTGAATTTACCAAGTCTTGTTTGCTGGCATATTTAATCCTCCCTCTGTAAACTAATATGAGACCTTTTACTACGTCTTATGTTAGCTTACAGAGGGAGTAGTTTCCTTAAAGTTCATGGAGCCTGTGTACTCTGTTTTAGATTTTGATTTTTGACTGGGACATGGCAAACTCAATACTAATAGAATTTCTGAGACCAATTTCACAATAATTTCAGATGTTGTACCTAATGTATCATCATTTCTGTTCTTCCAGGGTGCATATAAGCATCACAAGGAGGTCAGAGCTGCGCAGGGGGTAAAAATTGTGGCACGGGTAAGTTTTATTTCCATTGTCATGAGTTATGGAATCCATTGTCAAACAACTCATTGCTCAATTTTGTTTCTTCAGGGACTTCAATATACAATGGCTGGCACTTCCCTCATTGTAGTGAAGCCAGGGGATGATTTGCGACAAGCTGAAGCAGCTGCAATGCAAGAGATTGATATGGCCATTAGCACGACAGATGAGAACGAGAAGGGAACAACAACTCAAGAAGTTAGTAGTATCGTGACTTCCAAGGAGGGCATCTATGTGCAAGCTTCTAGTGTTGGAACCTTGGAAGCTATCATTGCGCACTTGAAGAGCAGTAGTGTGGACATTCCTGTTTATGCTTGGAACTTAGGACCCGTCTACAAGCAGGATGTCATGAAGGCAAGTGCCATGCTGAAGCGGAAAGAAGAGTATGCGGTCATCTTGGCCTTTGACGTCAAAGTGATGCCTGAGGCTAGTGCCCTTGCAGCTGAATCAGGGTTGAAGATTATTACTGCTGATACGGTATATAGGCTCGTCAACATCTATACTGAGCACATTAAGGGATTGAAGGAAGCGAAGAAAATGCAATTTGCAGCTGAGGCAGTTTTCCCATGCACCCTGAAGATTCTGCCAAACCGTGTCTACCATAGCAAGGATCCAATTGTTTGCGACGTTGAAGTTGTGGAAGGTGTCGTCAAGGTACATCTTTTACTTGGTGTTGTCAAGTGTATCATCGATTCAAAATGATTTGATCTTATTGCTGACGTTAGTAATTGGTGTCTTGACTGTGTTTCAGGTGGGAACCCCGATATGTGTCTTCACCCAGAGCAAGGATAAAAGCAAGAATATAATAGTTCATAGCCTCGGAAGGATCTCCTCCATGCAAACATCCAATGGCAATCAGATTTTCTCGGCCAGGAATGGAGTTGTGGCCATAAAGGTACGTGTTAGCGCATACATAAGCATGATTGTAGTTGTGACAATTGCAAATTGAAAGTTGAAAAAGCTTATAACAGTTGTCATCACCTCTGCCAGATAAGCGGTGACAGCCCTCAGGAGAAATCCCGGTCTTATGGGCGCCATTTTGATTCTAGCAATGAGCTGGTCAGCGAGATCTCGAGGAGATCCATTGATGTACTCAAAGAGTGCTTTCGGGTAAGGACGCTCACCATGCCACCATGGTTCATTATAGCCGAAAGCGCTTGGAGATTTTTATTTTACCTAGTTTTTTTTACTCCTTTTTATAGGCTCTCTAACACTTCCGAATGCACTTTTTACAGGATGAAATGAGCGCTGAAAATTGGCAGCTTATCACCAGGTTGAAGACGCAATTCAAGATAGCCTGAAGCGCCGGGAAATTTTTACTTTACCATAGTTTCTTTTCTCCTTTTTTTTTCCCTTTCTGCTCTGTGCCTCAAGACACTTGAACTATGTGGGCTTATCGCTTATGTATTGGTTTTTCGGGTCGGAATGATGAAAGTCTTGAACACATATTTAACTATATCTGTAATTTTGCAAAGCTGAGAATGTTGAACCTGGAGATGCTTTGGATTGCTTCATTCAATTGTTTGTTGTGTTCAGTTGACGCCGTACTGTGACTTCGATAGAGGGAAATCTGCAATTACTATGAACATCAAACACTGTCCACGTCGGATTAACAATTGTTCGACGCTGGCGACGAGGCCTTGTGATCCGGTCGTCACCAATGTACACTGCGAGCAGGCAACCATGGAGCACGTCGTTGCTCCTCAGCCATGCTGTGCCTTTGGCCACGCCGCTGCGCTGGTACCGCCTGCCATGTTTCTCTTCACACGATTGATCTATTCTTCATGTGTGTATCCAACAAGAAGACAAATAAATTAATGTTTACCTGATCGGTTTACCTGTAGCGATGCACGCATGCCCGTCTTTGCATTCTCCGCCTTGTGGGTTAGTAGGCTGTGCCATGGCCCATGGGAGCCGCGGCAGAGTACGCCACGCCCGCTGGGCCTCCGCCGGGAGCAGCGGCTTCATAGTTGAAGTCTCCTGCCGCTCCTGGAGATCCCCTTGTGTCTCTCCATGTAGGTGGGATGGCTGCTACGTGGCTGCGGGGGCGGGTGGCGGCGTGCTCGTCCTGGAGCTGGTGCCGGGATCCGGGCGGGCGGCGCGGGTTGGGCAGCAGCCTGGCGTGGTTGTTGCTCCGGCCACGGGCGGCGGCGCGGGGAGGTCCGGCGCATGGACGGTGAGCTCCTGGTGGCGGCCGCTACACGGTGGCTCGGCGGCTCTGCTCGTGGCGACGACCGGCTTTTTCTCCGGCATCGGTTCGTCTGCGGGCGGACCGTTTCGACCTTCCCTTGATCTCATCATCGTCTGGGCGCTACTCCCATCAAAGGGCTGGTCCCCTCCCAACCGCGGTCCACTGTTCGTCTCGCGCCCGGTGCTGCAGGACCGAGCTCGTCTCGCACACGGTGCAACAAGACCAAACTCGTCTCGCGCACGGTGCAGCAGGACTGACCTCGTCCCCCTCTCGGTGATGCAGGACCGAGCTTGTCTCGCGCTCGGGGCAGCAGGGCGGGTCGGAGGATGCGAGTTCTGGCAGGCCTATTGGGTCTCGACGCTGGGGGTCGCTCAGGGGGTGTGAAAGGTGGGACCTTTCCGCTCGTCTCTTTCATTGGGGTGCGGCGGGTCTCGGGTGAGGTGGTGTCAAGGTCTTGGATGCCGGGGCGGCGGCCCTGGTGGTGGTCGCGCGATGCTCTTGGGCAGAGCCCGTGCCTTGGTGTTGCCCGGTCTCCATGGCTGTGTGGGCGGCGTGGTTGCGGGGTGTGGCGTTCGGTGGTCGTAAGTGTTGGCCGAGGTGAAAACATGTTCTATCTTCAGAGGTACCGGCGTCGGCGAAGATCGTTCCCTTCTTGAAGGCGTCGTCGCGGCTCTCATTGCCCTTCATGCGGTGTCGTGGTACTAAGACTGACAGTAAGAGTAGGGGATACGCATGAGGAGGCAAGGTCCTAGCTACGGTGAGGTTGTACGCAAGTGTTTACGAGTTCAGGCCCCTCTCGGAGGAGGTAAAAGCCCCACGTCTCGGTGCCCGGAGGCGGTCGACTAGATTATAGTATGCGTGTGTGTATTACAGGGGATGCGAACCCTTGTCCCAGAGGAGGGGGTGGCTTATATAGAGTGTGTCAGGACCCCAGCCATCCCCCGTTACAGAGAGTTCAATGTACATAAAGAGAGGGCGTTACTGATAACGCCAGCTATAAAGTGTTACTAATGCCTTTGAAGACTACAGAGTGAATGCTTGACCGTTGCTATTCTATGTGACTCCTGGTCTTCACTGGTCGAGTGGTTTCTTGTATGGTCGAGTGGACTCAAGAAGGAGGGGTACCCGAGTGATATGACTGGTCGAGTGGATTGCACTCAACGTCTTCATTGGGCGCTCCCTGTTGTCTCTTGAGCTTCTTTGCTTCTAGGGTAGTGACCTTGGGTAGGGTATATAGGTCAGGCCTATGACCCTACCCTAGGTCTATATCCTCATCATTAGCCCCCGAATGGATTGAGGTCCGAGTGGAAAGAAGGTTGAAGTTGATCTTGCTTCGACCCTTGTGCTTCGCAAGTACTTGCATTGAACGGGAGTCTCATGTTGAAACTTCGGCTTCGTTTCAGTCGCTTGATCGATTCAGAAATTGCCGAGTGAATTCATAACACCATTCATCAAGTGTTGTTTTTTGATGCGGAATCTTTGGCGCAATTGGTTATGGCGTATCCCGATTTGACGAGATCCGAAATTTCGGGGAAGCGCGCGGGACGGAGCGTGTCGTGGTAAGCGGGTTGGATAGACAGGAGCGCCTCGATCCCCGCACCACCTTTTTCGCCACGTACCCAACATGCTACTGTTGCGGGATTTGACAGGATCGCCTGGGCCCACGCATCAGCCACTCGGAAGTGGGCCTTTAAAAGGCGACGGGGCTGAGGCGCCTGCACTGTGCGCGTCCATTCTCCCCCCTTCTCCTCTGCTTCTCCACCGCATTCGGCTCCTCCGCTCTCGACGCTGCCGCTCCGCCACCATGGTGAAGGACAAGACGGCGGCGCTGGAACGCGCGAAGAAGGCAACGGGAGCGGTGAAAGGCAAGAAGACGAATCGGGGGTCGTCGTCGCGGTCGGCGCTGCCGCCGGGTTGGATCCAGGGCGATTGGATCCAATCCTCGCTCCGGCAGGAAGATCTGTACGAGCTAGCTGAGTCCGGACTGATCGCCAATGGTGATGCATGGTTGCCGGAGGGGGAGACGGAGCCGCAGCCGCGATTGGGTGAGTGCGTTCTGCTCGCCACCCACATCGACCGCAGTTTCTCGCTTCCTCCACACCCTTTTTCCGGGGTTTTTTGAACTTCTTCGGGGCCCCAACACCATCACATACCTTGCCGCGTTTGTGTCCATGTGCGAGAGTTTTCTTGGTTGTCGACCGCACTGGGGCCTTTTCAAGCACATTTTCACTATCCGCTCTCAGTCGGTGAAGAAAGCAAACACGAGTGACGAGAAAACACACGTTATCCAGATGTGTGGGGGTTTGGGCATCCAGAAGAGGAAAAGGAGCTCTTTCCCTTCCATGACCCTTCCTGAGTCGGTCAGGGGCTGGCAGTCGACCTGGTTCTACTGCCATGGCGTCGCCACTCCACGCCAGTCGACTGGACTTCCCCCTTTTACCTTCGATCGTGTTCAGACCCCTTCCCTGCTGAAAGTGACCGCTGAAGAGAAGGTGGAAACAAACTTGCTGGTCGAGAGGGTGGTTCAGCTGATCAATCAGGGCGTGACTGGCATGGATTTACTGGAGGTGTTTCTCAGTCGGCGCATCCAGCCACTTCAGGCTCGAGACCACCCGATGTGGATGTACTCTGGCACCAACGACACAGCTCGGGTCCACCCGGAGGAGGTCCCGGCCAAAACGGTGGCCATGTGGTTGAAGAGCATTACAGGAAACAAGGACAACCCCAGGGTAGCCAGGAGGGTCGCTCCATTCAGCAACAGCAATCAACCAAACACGGTTTGAATTTTGCTACCGACTGTTTTCCTGTGCATCTTGCATCTGTCTTTGAATCCGACTGAATTCGCTCGACTCTTTGTTTTGTAGATTTATACCGAGATGTACTCCATGCCCAACGGAGAGAAAATTCTGGAGCAGGACCAGGAGGGGGAGGATAGCGCGGATGAGAGCGGCAACTGGCAGTCTCCGGAGGATGATGATGAGGAGGAGAGCGACGAGGGGGTCGACTCGCCGCCACGCTTGGAGCGTCGATCCAAACTTCTTCATGATCCAGTGGGCGAGCACGACAAGACCACGGCTCCCAGCACCTAGGCGCAGAAACGCACTCGGACGTCGACTCCGGAGCCGATGGAGAAGGTCGCCAAGCAGCCCAAGGTCGTGCCCTCGAAGGCTCAGAAAACCTTGCCCAGGATCAAGATGGACGTTCCTGTCGCCGCTGGGTGAGCACTCGATCTTTCTGCGTTTTCTTCATCCGACTGATACTCCTGTTTTGACCGAGTGGATTATGAACTTTTTTCAGCCCCATGACTTCTGTGACTAACATGGATGTTGACAAGGCCCCAGGGGATGAGGAGGCTGATGACGTGGTTACTTCCAGAGCCAGTAAGCCCTTTCCAATTTGAATTTGATCTGCCGACTGATTCACTGGTCGGTTGAACCCTTGGGATTGTCTGTGTTGCAGCCCTGCGAGACGTCATTACCCTTCCGGACGATGAAGACGAAGAAGTGCCTCTGAGGGAGAGGAGAAGGAAGGGCATGAGCTCGAGCGGGAGGGCGGCTGAAGGACAAGTGCCTGAGTCGGTGGTCGAGCGATCCGGAGATCTACTCGGACCAGCGTCACTTTCGCCAATCCGCTGTTGACCGACCGTCCATCAGGGTCGACTACTCAGGCCCCTACCGCTCCGGTACAACTCCACGCATCCGATCCTGCAGCTGCTCCGACTGCATTGCCGTCATCCCTCTTCACTGCATACCAGACTCTGGACCATCCGTCGAGTGCTGCCCGGGAAGCTCTTCTCCAAGTGAACCTCATTATGGAGCAGATGAAAGTGGTGCATGAGGCCAGGCAGGTTGCTTACAACGCCACTACTGCTCTGCAGGCAAACGTCAAGGTTAGTTGATTTCTGACTGATCTTTTGAGTAGTGATAGTTGCAACCGTCACTTTACTGCCCATATGATGTCCTTGGATGATCGCTTTGGAACCTTTTATGTGCATCTATGAGTCTGCATTCCGCATCCAACCACCCACTGTGGTGTTTTCCTGTAGCCAAACGGAAATAGCTTTTCTGCTTGGGTCGACGAGGTTGAGTCGAGTGTTTTTCTGAACCAGTG